AGAAAGAAAGAAAGAAAGAAAAGAAAGAGTAAGAAGCCTGCAAGTAAACTCTCCCACCCAGAAATCAATTGCGCATAAAAGTCTAGTTCGTCCAATATTGGAATACTCTTTACTAGTATGAGGCCCTTATACAAAGCTAAACATTGACAACTGAAAATAGAAATGGTGCAAAGACGATCTGCCCGCTTCGTGACAAACTGTTATGATCGCACAGCAAGTGTCACTGATATGCTCAATAATCTAGGGTGGGATTACTTGAAATTTAAAGGAGGAAAATAGATTGGTTATGATGTACATACTTAATAATGGTCTTGCTGAAATAGATAAGTACCAGTATCTCGTTCCAGAATCTCAAGTGCGCACAAGTCGTCATTTACATAATTTGGCATATAAAGTTGTTTAATTCGTCCTCTACAAACTACCACAAATTCTCATTCTTTCCAAGAACTATAAAAGAATCATAACAGCCTGCCGCAAGACGTGGTTGAGTCGCCATCACTGGCCTCTTTCAAGGCCCGGTTGGCTAAACATTTTTGAAACCGACAAACATTTTTTTTAATGGAATTTTTATTTTATTTTATTTTATTTTATTTTTTTATGGAAACCCGGAATCATCTTTATAGATGGAACCAAGTAATTGAAGAAGAGGAAGAAGCTCTTCCAAGAATCGAACCCAGCAAATCCTATTTTTGGCATTACTCTGAGAGAAGATGTAATAATATGTTAATAATGCTAAATTAGGTAAATAAATATAAAAATACACTAAAAACAGAAATAAAACCTATTTTTAGAGAAAATACAAATTTTGAAAAACACGGCTGTCAAAACTCGGTACCCATGATAACGTCAATTTTGAAGTACACGTCACGATAGCTAAAGCCTTTTCCGGTGCGTGGAACTTTAACCTGTTCACAGACCCTCTATTTTCTCTTCAAAATTCGTCGAGTGCGGGTGATAAAATATAAATCGCAGGGGATTTATTAACCGCCAGCGCAAAGGGGTAGTGGTGGGGGAAGAAGAAAATAGACGGTCTGTAGACATTTTTAGAAGCAACTGAACTTGCTTTTCCCAGGAAAAGCAAATTGCCATTGGCTAAACGGCGATTATCCTGTCATCATCGTGTCAACGACTCGTCACGCTCGCGTCATGCTAGTAGAAGCGTTTGTCATTGCCTGGACGCGCTAACCGCGACACTTACTAATTGTATTTTGCATTAAAAAATAGCATCGATTGAAAGCGCCGCCGACTTGTGAATTTGGGATGGAGTCATACTACAAGCTTGTGTTGACCATGTTGACCATAATTATCTTTTGTATCGGGGTGTAGACTATGGAACAGATGGAAAACGTGCTGCCATGCTGTTTTGGGTTTACTGGAACAAAAGGATTTTGTGGCGGTTCTTCTCACGGGTTTTGGGAAAACCTTAATAATTTTTTTGTTCGCGGCAGTGAAATCAAACAAGGAGAAAAGTACGTGGAATTGCAGTGCATCAGCATTACGAAGTATCATCAATGATCAAGTTGAAGCAAGGAGAGAAGCTGGCATTTCAGCCATTGCATCACCTTGCTTCGGAACCATGAGGTTATGCGGACATTCTGTTTTTTTAAAAACCGAAAGCTATAATCATCGGGTTCGCTTTATAAAAAGCTGACTTTACTCTCTTTCAAAAAAGGGAGTGTCGGTAGCTTTACGGGAACGGCATGATTGCCCAGTGCTATAGCACCCACATATAATACTTGTTGTTTGATTGTAAAATACCTAAGACAATTACACAAGGCATTTATATCCCCAATTCCATTGGTCCAATTTAATTGGTACTGCAAACGCTGAGGTGATAATGATGAGGCGTTGACGTGGGGGAGGGACTTAATAAACCTCTTTTTTTCCAAACATGTCTACAGACGTTCTTTATTTTTCTTTCTGGCGCGAACGCTTTGCTCGCGGCCTCGCCGATATTTTCGAAAAGACAGAAAAGAAAAATAAAACAACGTCTGTGTACAGGCTATTGGAACTTCCACCTTTGTTGTTAATTGACATGTGAGCATCGGTCTTCAATTTACTCCAAAATACAGATTTGAGCGTAAATGTTCAAGAGGAAAGTTCAGGCGAAATGTAACTTCGTCCCCTTCCAGTCGGACCCTCCCCAGGCCCTCCTCAGGCCATTATAGGGAGTCCCTTCCCCCCCCCGTCCTTGGTATGCTGGCTCACCTCGCTTTAAATCTCGTGGATAGTAAGATCTCTCTGGGTTTGGAATAAAGTCCTCCGGCCTCGCTTCCTTTGTCCTGTTGTTAAACTCGCACGTGAGAAGAGAAATCACCCAGTTAAAACTTTGGCATCGATTATCTTCGCGACACTTGAATACGCATGTAAACGGAAGTTCCGCTAGGAGAGTGTTGTATACGTGTCCCCGTAACATCCAGCCAATGATGGAGCTCTCGGATCTTCCACTTGCAGGACATTTTTGAGTTAATGCGCTGTAGACCAGGAGAGCTAAAACTGAGATACGGAAAACTATTCTTGCCGTCATTTCTGGAACTCCCCGCTAAAGTATAGAAAGGTATTTTGTTAAAACGCGCACTCATTTCTTTTGGTGTCCTGTCACTTGTAGCCTTTTCCTATGTTTTGAGTACGTTACAAGAATGTTATGAGAGTTTCATGATCATAAACAAGCTGTATACAACTGTATAAACAGTGTGTATAAAATTGGAAATTTTCCATGATTATAAGTTAAATATTGTAAACAAATTATTGACTCATAACAGCCGAAATGAACCCCCTATTGTAAATGATAAAAAAGGAAATTACCCGAACGGAGAATATAAAAAAGAGAAAACCGAAAACCGGAAAACCTCACTCACGAACCTTAGTAAATTGTTTGCTTTTAAAGTCGCTGAAAAAGTGTCTTACCTAATACCCTAGCTACTAACTCCCCTTGGTTGTCCGGAATCCACAACATGGAAACCAGAACCCACTGTCTTGGATTCCCTTACATGGCGCGAACAAAAACAGATGACGGGGCGAATATAGTTATTTTGTTTTTCGATGTTCTGAATAGAAAACTAGGCTTCTCCTCTAGTATCTGCTTTTCTTAAGGTTTTCGAATCACTGAGGAAATATAAGGATTAAGTTATGGCACAAATAAGCTTAAAGGGTTTTTTTGTAGCCTGAGAAAACCAGTCGGCATTTCACGAGTGCAGAAATTCTATACCAAGAGCCATGATGTCTATACTCATGACGTGTCACTACCCAGATCCGGGTAGTGCCTCTGATTGGTCATGCCGCTGGGGGAATTTGCTTCAACCAATCAGAAGTACTAAAATGTATATTAAGGAGAAAAAGTACGACTCATAGTTTTTGCTATAAAATATTTCGCGCGCAACGAGGAAAACTGAACTTCAGAATTACAGGCACACAGGGCGAAAACAAGTACGGTGGCCCTTATGTTTTATTGCAGTTTATAAATGTCCTATATGTGGCTGTCATTTGTGCTAAGTTTGAAAAAAGTCTGGATAGTAAATCATTTCAAGGGAATTTCCTTAAGATATCAGCCACCCTTCAGGACCGTCCGCGCGCGGATCGCTGTAGCGTTAGTTGTTTTTATAAAAACCCCTATAAACCATATATTTTTTAAAAGCTTAATAATTCCAGATTATGGATTTGAACTAACAAAAACGATTTACTTAAATGTGTTTCGAAATTGGAACGCTTTGTGTAAAAGTACACGTCTCTATAAATCATGTTCCACTCCCGCCGGAAATAAACGGAAGAAAACAATTAACACCGCATTCGCTTCTCAACACGTTCCACTAAAAAACCGTGTCTCAGATTTTTGACAAGTGCGTTTGTTTTTCTTTTATTAGCAACTGAAGTTGGGGAAGGCAATTAGTCAACACTCCCTGTCGAAAAAAAGCTCTAGCTTTAAAATGAAAAGGAGTATTAAAATTCGCAGACACGGTTTTGTAGAAGAGATATATGGCATCACTCTGGCCAAATTTTAGCCAAATTGATTGAAAGGCTGTCGACTTGGAGTTTAAAACGTACGAGTCGATCGGCAAAATTTGCGTTCGGAGATAAAATAGAAAATACACTTTTGGCGGCATCCTACCTGGAATGAGATTATAACACCTAAATGTTTATCCTGATTGATATCAGAGAGGGATCAATTTTCTGTAACAATAGGACTTTGACAGGTAACATGTAACAGGAACAAACTTTTTATTGCTATCAACATCTTCAAGTGAACAGTTTAATTCTCCGTTGGAAAACTTCCACTCTTTTACACCACGAGAAGCACGGTTTAATTCTTTCTCGAGCAAAAGTTTTGCCTCTCCTTCGATCTTTTTTGTATGATTCGCCGAGGCGTTTTTGTTGACGGAGCCAGGCCAAGGAAACTAAAAAACTTTGAAGCCGCCGAATGTCCACCACCGATTGCTCGAAGGCCAAGAACTGAGGCCCGGTATATTTCAAACGCTCTGCTCTTCTCGGAAGAATTAAAAACAGAATTTGTCTTGTGCGATGGACAGCTTTCATTCTCGCACTGTATTCTCCAAGTAGAACCAAGTCCATGCTTAATCGCTACATTTTCCATGACTTGGACTCTTACCTGGCAAAATCGACAAGATACAGACTCGTCCAGTTTCTCAAGCAGCTTTTCGCTCGATACGATAGCTCGACCGCTTATTGTTTTCCACGTTCCATCAGCAGATGGGGTCGATGAGCTTAATTGGCTTTCTTCATCTGGCTCTTCAAGCTAGCATTTGGAGCGGCTTGCACTCTCAGCAACTGCAGCAACTTCTCTTACTGATAAAATGAGCCTTTGTCGCTCTCTGCCAATTTTGCGGACATTCTTTGTCAAACTCGCTCTTCGATTTCCTTTTCGCTCTCGGTTTCGATGACGAAAACGGACACGAGCTTTTCTTTTCTTTTTTTTTTTTTGGCAGCATTTTCACCGAAGCAAACGCTAAATATCCACGGAGACTACTAAAGGCTATAAACAACGCGAAGACAATGGGTGGGTAATTTTCGAGCCGCCGGAATTTTTTTCCGTAATCAAATTCCTTGCATGAATTTTTTTAGGCTATAGTATGAATATTTTTTAGGGTTAATTGGCTTTTTTTTCCATTTCATTTTCCCTTGCGCGAATATTTTTTTGTACTTCGCCCGTTATAAATTGTTGCTGCCAATTCCCTTCACTAAGACAAACCAAATAATCAATTATTTATGTCTATAAATGTTTAATTAGATAGTTCTACAGCTCATCATTTTGACAAACCCGAGTTCTCAATATAACAGACCATTAATTCACCACAAAAAAATATCGTTTGTTTGATGCTCGAATTAAAAAATACGTACCCCACTGGAGTTCTTGCCACTAGCTGGAACTTTAAGGCTCAGTTTTAGAACTTTGTTGTATTATTTTTGGCTCAAAAAACCGTTTTTTTCTGCATTAAGCGCTCATGAGCTAACATGAAGACTTTCAAAACTAGATTGCCACTCTTTTCCGGAGCAGGCACCTTATTAGTTTAGAGGCTTATCAAGGCAAAGCAGTTCATGTTCACCTGGGCATTCACCGACGGAGGTGCTTTTTTTCTCCCTTGCCGAGGTCCTTTGTGGGAAAAGAAGATTAAATGAAGTCCTAAGTAGTCTGAGAGGGACGCTATAATGTTATTTATATGGAAAATGAACTGCAGAATGAAATAAAAAACTGAGATCTGAATGCATATGCAATTTGGTGCATAAGTCGCGTGAATCGCGTAATGGTTTTTTGACTAACGACACAATCACCCATTATAAATGGTTGCCGCGAATATTTCCCTTTACTAAGACAAACCAAATAATCAATTATTTATGTCTATAATTACACCCGAGTTCTCAATGCAACAGGGTATTCAATATTTCACCTTAAGAAAATATCGTTCTATGCTCGAAATAAAAAATACCACACTGGAGTTCTTGCCACTAACTGGAATTTTTACGCTCATTTTTGAAACTTTGTTGTATTATTTTGGATCAGAAAACCTTTTTTTCTGCATTAAGCGTTCATGAGCTAAGAAAACAAGCAACACAAAAATTTGGCCCTTAAAAGGTGCATGAAGACTTTAAAAACTAAATTGTCACTCTTTTCCGGAATAGGCACCTTATTAGTTTAGAGGCTTATCAAGAAAAATTAGTTCATCTGGACATTCATAGAGGGCTTATTTTTTGAAATTCTTAAACATCTACGCCGATGACTGCGTGCGTAACGGGAGAGATCTCAGAGACATTAAAAATCTCGCCGAGATCTCTTCGACATCTCTGCGACAATACTCGGTTAAATTTTTGCACGGGAGGATGACAGTAATGTTCCAAGCCTTCCGCAGACTTTCGTAGCGTTTCCTCATGCACGACTTACGAACGTCGTTTGTGGGAAAAGAAGATTAAATAAAGTTCTAGGGAGGCTTTATTGTCCTTATATGGAAAATGAACTGCAGAATGAAATAATAAAAATCTGAGATCTGAATGCATGTGCAATTCGGTGCATAGGCGTATGAATCCTTGACATGGCTACTTAACTCTCTTAAAGAGTGCCCATTTCTTTCTCTCTCTCTCTCTCTCTCTGCCTCTCTCTCTCTCTCTCTCTCTCTCTCTCTCTCTCTCTCTCTCTCTCTCTCTCTCTCTCTCTCTCCCTTTCTTTCTAGTTTCTTTGAATTCTTTTTTTTTTCAGAGTTTCTTCATCTATAGCTTTTTTTAAAAAACGAAACTAAGCTAGCGGAGAGATTCTGTAAATACACAAGAGAAAACTTCAACAAATACCCTAATTACGATCAGTTTAAAAAAATCATTAACTAAAATCGAATCTGTAAAAATACCAATGACAAAGTTAAAGGAACAAAACCTGAATCTTCACCGTCCTGTTTCTAAGAGTCGTGGTGCGGTATTCAGTATCTACTAGGAACCTTTTCCCCCAAAGTAGTCGATGAATTCAACATAGAGTAAGATCGATGCAAAATGTTGTCATTTATTAGTTGAACGCATTAGTTGTAGAGTATCAAGCTCATATAAATAGCAAAGTAAATTAATATTGATCATCCGAAATTGCAATGGCTTCCTCAACACTTTGGCCACCCGTCTGCTCTCTCCTAGTCAATCAACTCATTAGAAGGTTAGCCTTTTTGTTTTTTTTGGAAGGTAGCCTAGCTAGTGTTGTTGTTGTTGTAGTAGTTTTTGGTATTTTGTATTTTTTTTTATAAAGCGACTTTTCTATTTACATCAACAAAAGACTGTGACAAAAATTGAGGGTAGAGTGTAATGAAGGTATCAAAGGGATGCTTGGCGCTATGTGTATGTGGTCAATTATAATAATTTCCTCTTACATATCCTACATTTTAAGAAAATCTTCTCCTCATAACAGCGACGGAATAAAAGTTGTTTCTTTGTTCAGTTATAGGGGAAAATCTTATTTTGAAGATAAGTAGGATAACAAGCTCATTGCTATAGTTGTTTTTTCTTTCTTTTTTTTTTTAATTTGGAAATGTGTGGGTACGAGGAGTGTGTACAGGAATAAACAGGTAAGCTCAGTATCAGTTAGTTTGAGATTCGTTGGCAGGTTTCCAAAAAGGACCTCAAGTTACAAAAACCTTTTTTACAAATTAAATGTAATGTTATCTAGTCTAAAGGCTTATAAATCCGTTTTATTCTCGTTCAGACGAGAATGTCAATAGAGTTCTAAAGTGTTAACATTATAACTGAAAGAACAACGTCAAAGATGCCTATTAGCCCGGGGGGTACTTTAGGAGTTTTTGGGTGGGGCCGCTGGAACCCTGAAACCCTTATCCTATACCAGAGTTAGTTCAAGTGAATTTTGCTACCCTATACTAGACTAAACTCCCCAAATCCCCCCTATCCTAAAGTATCTGTTTTCCAGAATCAACTGAGGTCACTAGCACAGTCCAGCCAAAACTGATTTCATTTTTTTATATTCTTGAGTGGCAATTCCCGGTTTCCCTAGTCTAGACTAAAATCTTCAGCCAATTGATCAGTTTCCTGGAAAAAGATACCCTCTTCTAGACACAAACTCTCTGATTTATATACCCTATCCCAGAGTAAAACAGCTTGAAAACCATACCCTTTACAGCGGCACATACCTATATAGCCCAAATATGGCAGTAATTATAACTATATTATATTCAACACATTCATGATCATCATCACTTCCTTTTTCCAAAATGTAATACAAGGCAGGAAATCATCCTCAGTCTCTAACAGTCTCTATGCAGGACAACGATTTAGGTTTCAGCCTAACTACTATCTCGCCAAAATCAGCGTCAGTTATTCTGCCCGCTCACGCATTGCCAAACCCGGGTTGCCAAGATAAGATCATTCCTCTCATTATCAGTTATGGCTCATTCGCTATAATCACTTTGTAAAGCTTGAAATACTGTCTTTCGTTTGTACCCTTTACTAAGAACGGTACATTCAAACGTATTCTACGCAGTGTAACAGGGATTGAATGGTTAAAACGTATAACTGCAGTAGTGCTGTAACATGTATCTTTGGTGATGCAGCAACGGTTATAAATAAAGATTGCGGAGTTTTAATTTATTTGGAGATATTTTTATTGTGCCTTTTTTGGGTTCAGGCTTGGGATATTTAACAGCAATGTGCAGCCCGGGGTGGGGAAATTTGGCTGCAATTGACTGGAATGATTTGCCCGTGGGCAGGAATTTGACGGCAAAATTTTTGAAAAATGTCAAATCCCCACCCCATACCCTGCCTCCCCCTCCCCCGCCGGCTTAACATTGATAGGTGCATACTCTACAAGTTCCCGTCATCTGTTCACAGTTCACACTACACACCTGGGTTTGACATGTGTCCATGTAGCCTGACGTTTGGGAATGACAATCGTTGTGTTGTTGTTGTTGTTATTATTATTATTATTTTTTTTTTTACCTCAACTGCAGTTTCCTGAGTCATCAGCGTTTTCCCCGGAAAATTTCAAATTTTTGAAGAGTTGGGGGCGCTGCCCCCCCCCCTCCTACGTCCCGGCCCGTACGCCTTTGGTCTTGACTCAGTAGCTTGCACGATGCAGTCTCAGTTTTTTGTTGTTTTGTTTTTTTTGGTCCTGTTTCGTGCGAGATGGGCCATTCAAGGGACGATGGTGTAAATAATCTAAACATCACTTTTCGTTAAACAACTGGCTTGAAACATTGCATTTTTTTACGCGGCCCCTTTAAAGAAGCGTAGGCATCCCGATATTGTCTAATATCAGAAACATAACACGGATTCGACGGATTGCCGATCTCATTCAGATTAGCCGTCATCTTAATATGGTCGCTGAAGTTCAAATTGCATTCGATTGACACGCGTAATAGAGGTAGCTTGTCCGTAAGCTCTATCTCATTTCCTTGAATATTCAAACTCAGACTTGTTGTTACTTCATCGTCGTTGTGCATCAGCATGGTCTTGTATTTGGAAACGTTTCCTTTAAGCAGGCTGACTTCGTACCATCTGGATGTTTTTTCTGCATTACCAGCAAGTGATGACTTGACCTTCGCAAGATCCTTTCCCATTTCGTATAGCTGGTGGTCGTCTGCGTACATGCAGACATCCGATTTAATTTCGTAAGTGAGGTCATTTTCGAAGATGTTCCATAGAAGGAGACCTAGGGCAGATCCCTGGGAGCATCCCCTGTTCACAGTGTGCCAGTTACTTGTTACGGGGCCCAGTTGGACTCTGTTCTGGCGATCAGTTAGGTAGAAGCGTAGTAGATTCAATGTATTTTCTTCAAAACCATAGGCTCACAGTTTGCGTAGTATGAGAGGTGGGTGGAGAGAGTCAAACGCTTTAGACTTATCTGTAGATAAGACAGCAACGGATTGGCGTTTCTATCTAGCTAGCTTCCAGTGCTCCACTAGGGCGATGAGAGCGGAAAGGATTGTAATTGGCCTGTAGTTCTCTTTGTCTATCGGATCGTCTTCCCTAAAGACGGGTGACCATACTCCTTTCTTCCATTCACACGGCCATTTTCCGTTAGAGATGCACAAGTTGTGGAGCTTTGTTAGCGGTGCAGCTAATTCTCATGCTTCAATTTAGTGTCTTGACTGGAATAGAGAGATGAAACAGAAGACGAAAAACCTGCGGGAAAAGTTCGGTTGCCTTGGAAATTACATGAACGATGGTCAACAAAGAAAAGCTCTGAACGACTTACCCGCCCTTGCGAAAACGATAGACCTCCACTACCTGCGAAAGCTTCCAATTCGAAAACCAGTTTAAAAAAGTAGTGGGTTTATGAGCTATTCCCGCTCACCCTCATCACTTTTAAGATACCCGGCTGCTCAACCCTGTTTCGCAGCCAGATATCTTAAATTTACGAGATTAGCGGGTATAGCTCATTATATAACTACTATAAACACAAATCCCCAAAGTGATTCAAAAAATAAAATTGAATTTAAAGAAAAAAAATATATTTATAGTATGGGTCTCAAATCGAAAAGCCAAGCAAATAACCTGCCAAGTCAAATTAGTAAAACTTATCAAAAAAGCGGTTTGATATTTGAAAGTAGAAGTGCTTACGATGATCTTAGGAATATTGATCTTAATGCTAGACAGTTAGTTGATGCAATAAAAGCTGGTTCCCTTGATATGAAAGAATTCTTTAGCAGATTTGATAAAGTGAAAGTAAAAGAAACTTATGCTGGTGCAGCTGAAAACTTAGAGGTATTATTTGAAAATATTACAAGGTTAATAAGTATAAAAGATCGCGATTATTTTGAAACTGAGTTAGATTTTTCTGATTATTTCCATTCCAAAATAGATGTAGAATTTTTTGATGATTAATCCTATAACATTTTTGTTATAAGATTTTTGTTTTAGTATAACCAATAAATAAAATGACGTTCAATGTAACTCCAAGAGGTGAAATTTTACCAGTATATACAGGTCATAATCTTGAAGTTTACAATATCTATGTTGATCTTAATAAAAAATGTCGAGATTTGAATCTATTGTTAACAACACAGAGTGAATATTATGATGATGTATTTGAAGGATCTTTGGCTAAGGAAATAATGGAGATTATTAGAAAGTTAATTGAAGAAACAGATTTAGCCTTTGATATTTCAGATATAGCCGACATTAGGCAGTTAAGGTACAACTTGTTAAGAAAAAAGAAGCCTGAAAAATACCCAGGATTACCTGAATTCAAGAATGCCTTTGTTAATCAGTTTTTCCGTTATAAATTAGCTGAAGATATAGATTTTGATTCTGATGCAGAAAATGATATAGATAATTCTTGATCTCATAAGACAAACCCTGTAATAGCCATTCTTTATTATTTCAGGCTTTAGTATCTTATTAGAATATCTGCTGTAAACTTTACCGCATTTGCTAACATAGTACCATTCCAAAATAGATGTAGAATTTTTTGATGATTAATCCTGTAACATTTTTGTTATAAGATTTTTGTTTTACTATAACCAATAAAATAAAATGGAACCACGTTCTAGAGAAACTACTCCTACAAAAGAGGATTTGGATTTTATAGTTGATGATGGATATCAACACGATGAGGATCCAGATTATGTTCCTCCAAACGAAAAATTTATTCTTACAGGAGACAAGTTCACAAGATTAACTAGAAGAGCTAAAAAACTTGGTGCAGAATCACTTGATTACTCAACCAGAAAAAATAATAAATATATGGCTACGCTTCCAAGCGGAAAGAAAGTACATTTTGGTTCTCCAAAATATCCAGACTACTTAATACACAAGGATAAAGAGAGAAGAGACAAATATTTAGCTAGAGCTACAAAGATAAAAAATAAGCAAGGAGAGTTAACTTGTACTAAACCAGAATCGCCAAATTTCTGGAGTACCCATCTTCTTTGGCCAAAAAAAAATTAAAATTTTAATTATTGTTTAAGAAATAAATTATAATTAACAAAATGCAGTTATCCAGCTACGATCATTTAACCTCAGACAACGTTATTTTTAAAGAAGCAAAAGAGTCAAAAGTAAAAGATAGTAACATTAAATACAAGCGTATACCAATTGAAATCAAATACCAAAACAACAAAAAAGGACCACTTGTAATCGAAACCCCATTTCTTTTTAGCTTTGGTGTTAGTGAAAAGAGAAATCAAGAAACAAAAAAGTTAGTAGGATATAGTATCCCAGTATGTCTTTGGGCGAAAGATAGCGAACCAAATGAAAAAGAAAAAGCGTTTTTTGAATTTATTAATAGCTTAACATCTCTATCTCAACAATATTTAGAGAATGAATACGGACCAGATTTAGCCTCATCTCTTTCCCCACCTTTATACTACAAACAAGAAGAGTACACTGATAAAAAAGGAAAGAAGAAAACTAGAAAAGATCCCTCATCTGCACCAGTTCTTTATGCCAAACTTATTTACTCAGAAAAATCAAAGAAAATTTTATCTTTGTTTAAAGGAAAGGGGGGAAAGGATCTAAATCCTTTTAAACTCATTAACCAGTACTGTAATGTGAAATTGGCATTGATAATAGAAGGAATTTTCATAAGTAAAACTGTGACATCTTTACAAATAAAAGTTCATGAGTGTTATGTGAAACCGCTTAAACCTAGAGAGTCTTTACTAACAATTGAAGAGGAAGATGAAGAGCAAAGCGATATCGAAGAAATAAATGAACCAGTATTTGAAGACTTAGTTATCTCTGATGAAGAAAATGAGTAAATAACTATTTTTTTTAATACGAATTTCGTATTAAAAATCAACCAAATCCTTAGAACTAACCCATGAGTTAAATTTATCAGGATATCCACTCCATTTTACTAATGCCATTTTCTTCTTATTATCTCTCTTAATAATTTTTTCTATTCTAAATGTCTGCTGTTTTGCTTTTTGTAATTCTTGCTCGTAGAAAGAACCTTTAACCTCTTCTCCCATCAAATCAACAATGTTATACGTAACAGGTTTTGTTGGCAGAACTTTATCAATCACAAATATCTCCTCTGTCCAGTTTGGTGTGTAACCTTTATCAAATACCCGCCTCTTATATTTTGATATTCTAACTTTATCACCAATCGCAAACTTTGCTTTGCCTGGTTTCAAGTAGATTAAATCACCGTATAAATTAGACCAAACTTTATTTTCATTTTTCTTTTTACTTGCTTCAACAGGAGACATTTTTATACTTGAATGTCTAGCGTTATTGTAATCATCAACTAGTTTATCTATCTTATCCCAGTAAATAGTGTTGTTATTAACTGTAAACATCTTCCACATTCTGTTTTTCATAGTTTTATTCCATCTTTCAACAACACTAGATTTTTCCTCGTTTTCAGTGTGATACAACCTAATTCCTTTACTTTTAAGAAAATCTTTAAAATGTTTACTGATAAACTCAGAACCTTTATCAGTCCATAACATTTGAGGTTTACGTTTACTTTTGAATACATCCCCGAATGCTTTACTAACAGTTTCAGTTTTCTTATCTTTTAGCCCCCTAATCCAACCATACTTGCTAAAAACATCAATAACCATCAAGAGATATTTTATTCCTTTGTTCCACTTACTAAACTTTTGCATTTCAACTAAATCAGCAGCCCAGATTTCATCAATACCGTTTGAGATTACTGATCTTTTTTGAAAGTTTCTTGTGATTGGTTTGTGAAGTTCGTCGGCTAATTGTTGAGACCAATCACTACTCAACGCCGACTCGCGTTTAAACCAAGTCCAAGTTTTTGTTTAGTATTAATTATTGTTCTAGCTAAAGTATGCCCCCATTGTCTTTCTTTCCAAGGAATAGCATCCAACGATTTTACCATCTTTCTGTCTGCCTTATTTTTACACTTTCGGTCATCTCCACAAACACTATAATCTACGTCATGCTGCATGGCAACAGCATCGGTTGGCCCAGTTGGTTGATCATAAATTTCTAATATTTCTCCGGTTTCCGGATCATATCTTACTTGGTTCTCAAGATCATTATAAGGACCGGTATATTTATGTCCTGGTAAGGTCCATCCTCCTTTTGGTTTTGGTAATTTACCAATCTGCTTGTGAATATCTATAGCTCCTCCATCAAGATCTTTTCTGTTTGTTTTGTAGTTTTTCTTTGGTCGTATTTTGGTTGATAATTGGTCAAGAGCTTGAGAACCTACGTTTTGTATCATTGGATTTAATTTGTCCAAAGCATAATTTATTGCTTTTTTCTGCAATTTAGGGTTTCTGAGCGCTTCTGACCCATAATACCTTCCCATTTCAACTGCTTTTTTACCCATCCAAGGTAAACCGTAATGAACAAATCCATCAACTGCTGTACCAACAACTGTATCAAAGACGCCCGCCCCTTCAGACGGGCTAATTAGTTTTTTGACTTTCTTTTTCCACTTCCAGTTTGCATGGGAGTATTCCCCATTTTTACATATCTTACTTTTTTATTTCCACAAACTGCGCATTTACAAAAGAATTGAGTTCTACCTCTTTTATCTTGTTGGTAACCACTTGGCTCTGTACAAGAAGTTACTCTTTTATCTACAATACAATAAGTTTCTTTCATTTAATATAATGTTTAGATAAAAAATATGACTACTAGATCTAATTTTCTGAAAAGTGAGCTTCAAAAGATATACAGTAGCCTAAACATGAGTTATGAATACGCTGATTTTTCTAGATTGGAAAACGATACGAAATTTATAAAAGTATTTGAGATACTTATGGAAATAAGTGAGAAATCAAATATGCTTAAAAATGTAGTAAGAAATAATACGTTTTTATAGAGAGCTGTAAACTCACGCGGCGTAGCAGCAGGGGGGTTTTGGGGGGACAAGGTCCCCCCATTATCTATTTATATAATAAATGGAAGCTAAATTCTTTTCTGAGATAGAGAAAAATATGGATGTTAAAACAATCAAGGATTTTGAGAAAGAAGTAAGAGTAAAAATAAATCATGAGTTGGAGTCTCTTAGAAAGAAAAACGAAGATCTTTCTAGAGTTCTGATGGTTGGTGAATGTGAGATGTGGAATAAAATAAGAAACGAGGAATATTCTTGGTTGGGACTACTAGAATAGTGATAAAAAAAAGAAACTTTATCGTCTTATTGATATTTACTCTAATTTCATAGATATAGTTGATAGTGTTAAAGAACTAAATACAAAAGTTGAGAAAGTTAAACAGCTAAAAAATACACCAGCTGATAGTGAATAAAAAAATAATATTTGTTAAATATTATTTTTACATTACGCGGCGTAGCCAAGGGAGGGGGTTTCGGGGGAACCGTAGGTTCACCCGCCAAAGTATGACTTTATAAAATCGCTGTTATCATTATCAAAATTAGGGTTATGTATTACATCTAGAATACCTTTACCTTTTTGTCGCTCGAATAAATAATATAAACACCAATAACCACATAGAACAGTACTGCGATTTTGTATTTCATCCATTGAGTACACAATAGGTTTTACAGGTCCCGTGTGAAAATAGTCTAATACTTCATTTGGCATTATCAGTCCAAACGGATCGAAATACTCATAAAAACCGCTTTCCCCATTTCTATAACAAACCCAGTGTGTTCCAGGCCCTGTTATATCATCCAGATTGATTATTCCACATTCTTTTTTAATCTTTTTTGGTAGGCCATCACGACTGTATATTCCTCTGAAATTTTTTATACCAAGTCTTTTTATCCATTCCATTAGGTCAAAGTTTGAAAGAGGTTTAATTACAAAATGGAGTTTAGAATGATTAAGGGCCCCCACTATAGAATTGTTCCTAGTATGGGAATTGAGTTGAATGGGCTGTTTTTTCCTAGAAGTAGTCCTGAACCTTTGGACGGCCTGCCGGCTTTTTTTTTTTTAACTCCCATTCCTATAGGGTTGGACCATGTTCCAATAAAAGGAGGTGATTGATACGGATAACCCATACCATTTGTGGGCGGAACGTAAACATTTGCTGTATTAGATGACCCACGTCTATCAACCTGCAGGCCCGCTCCTGTCCCTCCTCCAAGCATCTTAGATACTAAACTAACTGCTAATGGAATTCCTATAGAAGCAAGTGTACCTAAAAATCCTCCTTCTATCTGTTTACGAGTTGGTTTTATAACTACTCCACTACCTGATTGATAAGCTTTGTTAATTTGATTTATTTGTGATTTGGTAAATTCTCTTACAATTGGCGGTAGCATTGGGAAAAACTCTGGTGTAATTGGTATACCGTAGTGTCCCCCCTTTCCGAAGATTTTATTTAATCCCATTTCACCAAGTGCAGTGGCAGCTCCTGTAGCTAATGCGGGAACAGCTTTACTTATTCCTTTTATTGCGAAAGGAAGAACTTTTGCTCCAAGAGATGCGAGTGATGAAAATAAGTTTCCTCCATGTTTTACAGATTTTCTAATTTGAGTTTTACTTATCTTTATATCAGATCCTGTGCCATTTGCAATAGATTTTTTTATTTTATCAATCTGTCTTTTTGTCAACATTAACTCATCATTTCCTCTAAGATGCGAATGTTTTAACCGAAGAGTCAAAGGTGACTGATTTATTATCGCAGAAGCTAGTTTTGACTTCTGTCCATCTGTAAGTGTTACTCCGTATTCTATATAAGTAGTCATGTTATTTATTTGATGTTTATATTAAATTATGGGAAACGGTTTCCCCAAAACCCCTTCCCTTTTTTCTGTGTAATTAGATTTTAAATGTAAAATGCTTTACGTGTAACCTTACTCGGCGCAGTCAAGTGAGGGGTTTTTTCCTGTGTTACATAACACACACTTTTTAAAATCACGTGTAAACTCACGCGGCGTAGCGCAATCCCCCCATCACGAGATTATCGTGTGATTTTTTCAACCAATCAAATGGTTACACAGAATTTTTCACATTTGTGATAAATATATGTGAAAACATAATAACAATCATAAAATTCTATCTTTTCGTGAGTACAAGAAGAAAAGTTTTAACAGATCACTTAACAATTTCATCATGCATGTAGGTAAGAGGGAGGGGTGTTGAGGGGTGCCCGAAGGGCTTGTCCGTAGGTTCTCCTTATTTAAGCTCTAAGCAATAGTTTTCCATCTTGTTGTGATATTTCTGCCATTCTTTCATGTAAGACTAGCGCGTAAATATTGTAGTCAGCGTTTGGATTAGCAGTTAATTCGTAATGAAATGCTAGTTTTGTAACTCCATCTTTTATATCCATTTTTTGTTTTGTTAGGTCAAAATAAACAAAAGGAAATAAAGTTTTGAAATTACTTCTATTGAGAAGTGTTCCACCTTGATAATCATTATTTGCATAGACGTATGACATTACATTTCTAAAAACTCTTGACATATCTGTAGAAGGTTTAAAGTGAATATCTGGATATTCGTTTCCATTTGCAACTTCAAGGTAACATCTTGATATATTAGCATTATTTGGTAGATTAAAAGTATCGTATAAAAATGGATTTGCTGTTTGTGCATCGATTCTTGTTGTATCAATTCCAAAAACAAATACATGCCGCGGTTTTGAAATAGCATTTGTAATTCTAAAATGTCCTGTCTGTTGCTGTGTATTATTTGACCTTTCAACTACTTCATTCAAATATGTCCATTTGTAAGGTTTAAGATAATTTTCCATGTACAACTTTTGTCCTTCTGAATTAAACGTAAGTTTTGGAATAAAAAGTTGTAGTCTTGTTATAATAACTCTACAATTATCAGCAGCTTGAAAAATTAAATTTGCATCTTTTTCAATTTCGATATTTAGCTCAATTTTTGTATTAGGAAGTAGTTTATCTTCCAATGCTTCAAAGAAAGAATATCTATTAAGAGGAATTTCACAGTTTACTGTGGCTGATGCACCTAATAGTAATTTCCTTTGATGAAAACCTTTATTATAAGTTGCTTGAGCAGGCCTTTCCTCTGCGGCTGTTGATGTATCAAGAAAATAAAATTCGTTTGTAGCAACACTCTGGGCATATGAAGGATTATATTCGAGTAAATTCTTGATATTTACAACATGATTCGCATAATTACAACTATAAACTTCTCGTCCATTTGCTAGGATACTTAATTTTTCTATAAAGGAGTTACTACCATTTACAATTCCGTTATGGTCAGCAACTGCTATATTTCCTCCATCTGCCAGCTTATTTACTTTAAAATCCATTGATAATCGTGCGTTATACCAATCAAAAGGAGTGGATTCTGCTGTATTATCAGCTACAAATCTAAGACCTGTTTTAGTTTGGTGAGCGTCATTTGCTGGAGCCGAATCTAAAGTCTGTTCCAGGTCAAAAACAACATCCTCATATCTGTCTAAATATTTTGGATTTCTAAAAGACTTCATTTTATTTTAATAATTATATAATTTTATGGGGGGATTGCATCCCCCCAAAACCCCCCTGCTGGGGGGTACCCAATTTAATAATTGTAGAATTTTCTCTTACGTGTTGAACCCCCACTAAGAAGGTTATTCAACATTTGATCTATCTCTTGTTGAGATACCGCCCCGACATTTTTATTAAAAGTAACTTTTTTAGCAGGGGGGTTTCGGGGGGGTGCAACCCCCCCGTTTGATAACATTTGCACTATTTTATCACCGGCCTTTTTACCAACATGTTCACCGGTTTTTGTTGCGGCTGCTGTTACTGCTTTTTCAACGCCTTTTTTAGCGGCTTTTTTAATTGTCTGTCCAAATATTTTTTTACCAAACGATTTAAAAACATCTGTTATTCCTTCGCCATAAATATGTTGTTTTGTAAAACTACCCAATTCAGGGTCAAATTTCTTTTTATACTCTGATTGTCTCATCATTTTATTTTAATAGTTATATTAATGCGGCGTAGCCAAGGGAGGGGGTCATAGGGGGAACCGTAGGTTCCCCTATTACATGGAGTGAAGTATCAGAGTCATAAACCAATCTATACCGTTGAAATTTACAGGCCTTCCAAGTGAGTCTGTGACATATATTCTCATTTCATCAATGTGAAATGAAGAGACAGGACAATACAATGGTCTTTTAGGCTCAAACGTAAATGGATAAGACCTTGTAAGATTATCGGTTGGTATCACAGCAATGGTATTTGTATTTATTCCATTTACTATACTATCTGTTATTGCGGTTGTGTTGATATTTAACACATCAATCGAATTTGTGATATTTGGTAGTTTTGATCCATACTCTGTTTTTGTTATGAGTTTCTTTTCAAAACCAATTAGGTCTCCAAATTCTGTTCCTCTCAGATCAAGTTGATAATCACCATCGAGTGATACTAACACACGATAGGTGGATAGTATAAAAGTTAGATTGATTGAATACTTCTTTGAACCTTTAGAATCTGTTGAGTGATGAGACTTTTGATCCATGTACTGATGAATGTAATCATTGATATCTGAGTAGGAATACATTCCATCTGTAAAAGTAATTGTTTGCCAGTTGGTTCCATCATGAGTGTATTTGATTTTATTGTTTTTATAATCACTTCTAATGTTGTACCAAGAATAAGTCATGGACAATCGATCAAGAGCAAGTTGATGTTTCTTTTCAGAGTCAAGTTTCAAAGTTGGGTTAAATTTGATAGTAAAATCACCAGGTCTGCTTGTTCCTCTTTTTTCTCTGTTTATCGAAGAAATGTGAATAGCTCGTTCTTCCATTTTTATCTAATAAATATATTATTTGAGAGGGAGGGGTGTTGAGGGGTGCCCGAAGGGCTTGTCCGTAGGTTCCCCTTATATAAAAGTTTTCAACAAGTCATTTAACTGTTTTTTTGAGACAACCCCCATTTGGTTTAGAAGATGAGCTATTTAAGAAAACTCATTTATCACACCATTATTCCCAGCAAGAATTGATCCACCTAGTAGTTCAAGTCTGTCTAGAAGTTGATGTGGGTTGTTATAGTAAACCAGCAGGGGGGTTTTGGGGGGAGGCACTCCCCCCATGCCAGATTTTGTTTTATAATACTTAAGATTACTTAAATTTGTTGCATATATGCTTAATGTGTTATATTTTTTTATAAAATTTATTGTGTTTTTATGTGGTTTTTCACTTACTGGTTTAGCTAAAAAATAACCGTTTGGGTCTCGTGTAAAAATTGCAGTATTTTTTATTGCTTTACTAGTCTCTCCTAAATCTTCATTAACATCCTCGATTAATTTATCAATATTAGAAACATCCTCTTCAAAATACTCAGAAGGAAGTTTGTCGTATCCATTAAGTTTGAGTATATCCCGTGTGAAATACCTCCATGGAATTCCATGGAAATCCATGGAAATCCATGGAAATCTATGGAAATCCATGGAATTCCATGGAAATAGATGGAAATCCATGGAATTCCACGGAACTTCCATGGAGTATCCATGGAGTTCCATGGAATGCCATGGAGTTCCATGGAGTATCCATGGAGTTCCATGGAATGCCATGGAGTTCCACGGAGTTCCATGAAGTAGTGATGGAGTTCCATGGAATGCCATGAAATTCCATGGAATATCGTGGAGTTCCATGGAATGCCATGGCGTGCCCATGGAGTCAGATAGAATACCATGCAGTTTGTATGAGAAAATCCATAGAAATTCAGTAATCAAGCAACTCATCAACTTGTTAGCCACATGTTCAAGTCTGCACTTTTTATTGGATAGAAAAATAGGAAACATTTGAAAGCTTTCTAAAAGCAAAATAGCTAGTATGTTTAAATTACACAGATAATGCAAAAGTATAATGTTCACCGACGCTGAAAGTCCGAGTGTAAGAAATTTTATTGCTAACTATAAAGAGGAATGTTTTGTGTGCTTAATAAAAAAATGATCCTGTTAAAAAAAAAAAAATAAATATAGAAAATTATTTTTTAGTAGGGCTGTTTGCCATTTATCTTTTAAAATCAGAGTTGCATTTAAAATATGAGAAGATCACTGTTATTAACAACATGCAGTTGCTTCATTACATTGACACAGTGCCCCTATTCGTACAGGACCCTTACACCGACGTGTATCTGCTATGACATACAGGATCAAGTCTCTACTTGAAATTTATATGAAATTTCTAAGTCTCTTGAAATTTCCGATCAACAAATTTCCATGAAAGTGTAAGTCTCTTCAACCACTGTTCCATTTTTAAGGAAAAATTTCAGTGGCAAATTTTGAAAAGAAGAAAAATTCGATGTGGCAATTAAGATTGAGAACCGATCCAGGGGCGTAGAAACCATAATTCGTAGCGTAACCACTCTACCGCGGAGTAGCAACTCGCTACGGTGGAGTTTGATTTTATTCATATATAATAACAACAACCGTAACCCTAATTAGAGGCTAACCGTTTCGAGTCAGTGCTTAAATAGACCTAATCAGTTTAGTCGGAATCCCGTATGAATAGCAAATACAAGACGATGTACGGGTCCCGTACTTAAATAGCCAGTATTGGAAATGATCCCACTAGGCACATTAACTCTTCTCGGTATCGAAGTGTGTTTTGGTTGAGAGCTAAGATTTTCCCTATTACTCGAGTCAAACCTGATTGATGAGATTGCTTTGTATGAAGTATTTCGGCGAACCTACACAAGCAATATTAGAGTTTTTTGCCGCATCCGTGGATAGGCTAGTCTGCAACACAGCCGTTTTTAGTGGGAAGGAGCGTTGCGTGACGACACTAAGAACGGCTGTGTATATAAGACTATGAATAGGCCTGCTGCCTTTTTTCAAAGGTTCCCTCACCTGGGAGAACAATGCAGTATTTTCCTCTCACTGCTTTACTCTTCGACAGCGTCGGAATGGTACAATTAACTCTGAAAGGGACCACAATTTAAAGCCTTTAAAGACAGACATCTCCACGATCGTGCCGTGATTTGACGCCATGTTTGGTGCTTGAACTGGCGTCCAGACCTCTCCGCTTAGTGACTTACGCGATCACGTGGGGCTTTTGAACCAATAGAAATGCGTAGAAGATCAGTTTTCTTGGTTCGAATATTTAGGCGGACTTCTGTGCAGTACGACAGTGTTGTGTAAACGGATTGTTTTAGCGATGAATGCATCCGAAAAAGATGTTATTTTCAACGCAAAATATCACTTGTGAGGTTGCTTACATTTGGCTTAACTTCTTTCAAATCGACTTCGATTAAACAATGACTCAGCTGGATCGCACATTAGAGAGGAAGGTAAGCTTAATATGTACACAACTCGTGTTTGGTTGCTCAACTGAATTCGTCCGCTCGATTATGTCTCTGCTAGATTTAGAAGGATGACTTTTCGGGTGCTGTTTATCGGTTTTAATATTTACTTTCTATCTTTTTTGTTTATACAGATATGAATGTGGTCTTTCCTGCAAATTGCCTTTGGAATCCTTTGGAATAATTACTAATTCTGGCAGAATTAGAAATCGGAGACTGTACTTCGATGGACTGCTTCGATGCATAAGAAGAAATATCATATTTAGAACTTTCATGCCTGCTACGTAAAAACTATACAAGAGAATGATAAATTATAATTGTGGCTGACGCCGTTTTTTCCCAAGGATTAGGTAGGACTTTGCTATAACTAAATACCATAGTGGTTCTGATCGAGGAAATATTGCACTTATCAATTGAAACCCCGACCCCCCCCACCCCGGGCCAAGGTGGGGATTTGACTTGGCATCATTACAAATCTTAGCAAACTCCCACCATACTGGGGCATATTGACTGGTTAAACCCCCAATTCCCTGACTGACTTTATTAACATTTCGTTGGAATTTTCAACTTCTTTATTGACAAATTTACTAGAGCAAAAAGGCAAATATGATAACAGACCACGATATAAATACAACAAATATTTGACAATAATTAAGTAAAGATAATGACCCCTACCCACTTATAAAAAAGTCAGGATACAAAATGGATGATGGAGTAGCACATTGCTATAAATTTATATTAAAAGGAAATCTGTACCATCTCCATTGAAAGTAATTGCTGCAATGATAAGTTTAATTGAAAATAGCAGCCAACATACCTTAACTTTCACAAGCTGATGTTATAAATAGACTGCATAAAATAGTTCCTAGGAGCTATATTTTATATTTTGACTTAAAGAATGAGGAAATATAGAACTTCAGAAACCACATGGGTTTAACACTAGATGTTAAATGAGCTGTGTCACGAAATTTACCAAAATGTAGGCTGTGGGAACTGCCACCAAATTGAGTGAAACATAAAAATAACCACTGAAGACATTAAAAGATGGTATAAATGACTCAGCAAATACAAAAGAAGGTACAGATGGGAAAACATGAAGAAGATTAAAACGGATTGAAATTTTGGTTTTTGAAAACTTGTTAACTTAACAGTTTTTCAAAGTTCATTGTTTTTGTCCGTAACGCTTGATGTGCTTGGGAGAAACATCTGTTTGAAACGAAGCTTTGATTTCTTCATTTCTTTACCCACAATAACGCTCAGAAGCGAGTAGGGACCACGTAACTGGCAATATTAACAAAATGAACCAGATAGTGTGTATCTGCATTGTTTGAGAAGTTTTGAATAACAATAACAATTTCCAGTCAACGAACCATGAAAGCTCAAGGCAAAATCGCAAAGGATTAATCTAAGTGAAGAAATGAAAGGAAAAACAATTAGGAAACTTACGGCCGAGCAATACATCAAAATACCAGTGATCACGTGAAGAAATTACCCTGAGGAAACTAGGCACGAGTCAAATCCCCACCTCGCTCCCCGACTTCCATGGACTGCCATGAATATGCTAAGCAAATCCTGAGAAATCCCCCACCCCCACGGGCTAACCATGCCTTCAAATACCATAAAAATCCCCCACATTACCCCACATAGGCCCAGGGTTGGGGGGGTGGGGATTTCAATTGATAAGTGCATAAGTAGCACTTCCCTTTGTTGTCGCATTAAATAAAGCCATGTTTAAGTCTTACATACTGACGGTTTATGCATTCAAGTATTAGCTTATTTTTTTTCCTCTCAAATATGCATCTGTTCGCCTGTTACTTTTCTGAAACACCAGGCCAAGATTCCGTGCTTTATTAATTATATTAAATCTAAATTTTTCATTTAAGCTACTTCAATATGATGGCTGCATTCTAAACTGCAATGTATATAGTCACAAGTAAACATTACTTTTTTAAGCTACCGTATGTCAAATTTTCCACCAAAAGCATGTTAACTTTTAATTGTTGTCTTTAAAAAGAGATTTATGCGGTCCTTTTATTGATTAAATAAATTGCATTGGACCAAAATCTGTTATGTATTCCATTTGATTCACTGGATATTTTAAATGTCTAATTCCTGAGAATACCATGAAACTCCATGGAATAATCGATGGAGTAGTTTCTATGGAATTGCATGGAACGTTTCCATGGAATTCCATAGAAAATGTCATAATCCTCCATGGAAAAATGTCAATGCAGAAATTTCCATGGAATTCGATCCATGGAAATTGGTGCCCTAATGTTTTCCATGGAATTCCATGGGAAATGTCCTAATCCTCCATGCAAATATTTTCCATGGAAATCTGTGGAGAAATTTCCATGGAATTCCATGGAAATTGATGTCCTAATCCTCCATGGAATTCCATGGAGAATTTTCCATGGAAATCCATGGAATTCCATGGAATTCCATGGAGGTTTTTCACACGGGATCTTGTGCTTCTTTATTCATTAAATTTCTATCGAGGTCTTCAGGCGTAAATTTTGCTATTTTAGGCCCTCCCTCTGATCTAGAGGGGTCATCTTCTTTAGACTCTTCAATCGCATCAAAACTAGGTAATTGAGCCAAATCCCATTTTTTTACTTCGTCAAGTTTATCAAATCCTTCAGTTATAGCCATCCTGTTTTGATTAAGTCCTTGTGTAAGAGCAAGTTGATTAGCTTTGAGCTGTGCTATAGTTGCGTTTTGTTGTTCGTCGATACTTTTTTTAATAGAATCTTGAGATTTGATAAGTGGTTTAAATGTTTCTTTAAAACCTTCCCGCATATCTTGTTTTTGCCATTTTGTTGTTTTTATAACATCTCTAACCTGCCGTGCCAAAGCGTCGGCTTCGATTTTATTTTTTGCAAAATTTTTAGCTTCTTCTATATCCATTTTTATTTAAACAATAGATAAAAATGGAAATTCCAAATTATGATAGTTCCGATGACATTGATAAAAAATATAAACAGCTATTTCCTTTTATGCCGGCGGATACGTTTCGAATGTTAATCTGTGGAAACAGTGGAAGTGGTAAGACTAATCTTTTGTATCACATGTTAATAAAACCACTGTTGCATTACGATGAGATTTATCTTTACGCACGTAATCTTGAACAGGATAAGTATCAAAAACTAATCAAAAAAATGAGGGAGTTAAGTAGTAAAATTGGATATGAAATACTTCATGTGAGTAACGATGAAATAACCCCGGTTACAGAAATTGATTACGAAGACAATCAAAAACTTGTGATATTTGACGATTACGTTTGTGATAAAAACCAGAGACAGTTAATAGATTATTTTATCCAAGGACGACATAAGAATTGCTCTGTAATCTACCTCAGTCAATCATTTTATAAAACTCCAAAGGATATCCGGTTGAATTGTTCTCACTATTGTCTATATGAATTTCCATCATCGAGGGAAGCAAATCGCATATCATCTGAGTTGGGAGTTAATAAAGAATCATATAGTAAAGCAACTAAAAAACAATATTCATTTTTATACGTTGATAAACCAAAAAAACGTTTAGCAATAAACTTTAATGGGAACATATAAGGGAAACAGCCCCTTTAAAATAAATATAACCATTAGATAAAATGGGAATATTCAACGAACAAAATTTTGATCATCCTTTTGCTAAAGGAATTCAGGGTGCTCCAGGAGTTGGATTTAGTTTAACCGCAGATGGAAATTATGATATGAATAAAAAAAGACTCACAAATGTTGGAGCACCGAGTGCTAATACTGATGCTGCTACAAAGAAGTATGTTGATGATAATTCTGGTGGATCACCCTCGACATCACGATTAACAGTTGATTCAAACATCGATATGAAAAGACGATTCCGTATTTTGAACCTCCAACATCCAGTTGACGGAGATGAACCAGCAACAAAGCAATACTCAGACAGCAAATTTCTCGACAGAAACGGTTCCCGGACAATGATTGCTAATCTAAGCATGAATAATAATAAAATAGTTAAACTTGGCACACCAACAGCCAATGATGATGCAGCAACCAAAAAGTATGTAGATGATAAACCAGTAACATCTTCAAGGCTAACAATCAATTCCAACATTAATATGGGAGCTCAATACCGAATTACAAATCTTAGCACACCACTTGACGGAAAAGAACCTCCTACAAAAGATTATGTAGACAATACATTTCTTGATAGAGATGGATCTTACCCAATGAAAGGTAATATCAATATGGCAAATAATCGAATATTTAACCTACCAGCCCCAAATGGAAGTAATCAACCAACACCATTAGCTTTTACAGATTTAAAGTATGTTGCCCGTGATGGTTCATCTACAATGACTAATAATTTAAACATGGATAATAAAAAAATAGTTAACCTTAGACCACCAACATCAGACACTGACGGCGCAACCAAAAAGTATGTGGATGACTCAATACCTGATACCAGTTCTTTTATAAAAAAAGATGGAAGTGTATCAATGACTAATAACCTAAATCTTGGAAACAAAAAAATAGTTGGTCTCGCAACTCCAACATCAAACACAGACGCCGCAACCAAAAAGTATGTGGATGATAACACAGATGCTCCAGATTTAAGCGATTACTTAGAAAAAGATGGTACCGTTGCTATGACTGGGAACCTTAATCTTGGTAATAATAAAATAATAAATCTTAGTAAACCAACCCAAGACAATGACGCGGTAAATAAAGATTACGCTGACAAACTAGTTAATCACACTGCAGTTCAACCAAGTCATTACAACGATCAGTTTTCTTATCTCATGTCAAGTGCGGCTCAATGGACTGATGAAATAACTAGCGGAACCAGTTTTGTCATAAAAAGAATAGGAGATTTAGCACCAAACCAAGGAAACTTTCACGATTATAACCACAAAGTTATTTATTTAGCTCTTAACAAAAATTCCCAAGGTGGATATAAGTACAAAATGGGAATCAACTTTTACAGGTTAACTGCTAATACCGATTACACTCTGTGCTTGGAAATACTCAACACTGAATACGCTTTATGGCATAAGTCTCAAATAAGTGTGGACAAAGGAACTTCAACAGGATTATCAATTGGAAATGTTAGTGTGAGGAAACTATCACATAGGTACACACAATCAAATGGGCGAGTAGCATTTATGTATTATCACAGAATAATAGTTAATTTCCGGAAGTTAGCAACTGGAAATAGGTTCTTTCTTCATTTTTTGGTTGATATACCACAAACTGGAACTGACTTGGCTACTTATCCGAGTCAGTTTTCAGGTGTTTATATAATTACTTATGGTATTGTGGGAAAAGTTAGCAATATCGATCCAGATAAAGTTTATGATTATCACACCGCATTTGATATCAAACCAACACAAGTGGTTTACAATGTTGATATAAATGCAAATAATAAAAAAATATTAAATGTTAATCTTGATAGAAATAATGACAATAGCGCAGCAACAGTTGGAATGGTAAAGGAAATAAAACCTCACACTATAAACGATTTATACAGAAATTATTTCGAAGAAGTTTATGATTTTACTAATGCCACTAATTACAAATTAAGTAGAACCTCATCAGGTATTGTTTTCAGATATTTATCTTCAAGTAGTGGTAATACTTTAAGAGAAATGGGTATTCCTCTTAGAACCATAGATGATATAAAAAAAGAAGGTCTAAATGTTAGTGATTATAATATTAGTTTTTCTCCTCCTGATAATATTACAAAATATACTTTATGCTTAATATTTTATCACTGGAGAAATAGATCATTTGGATTATATAAAAGAGATACAAGTGGGCGAAGTATTATATTAACATTACGTTATTCTTCAGTTGGTAATTTATTATTTTTAGTTGTTAATAAACAAAGAAGTCAATTAACCATGCCAAGTGATTTTAACGGAAAAAAAATTGTTGTATGGTTGGCAGAAGATTTTAGCCAAAATATTACAAAAGTTAAAATAAGTAACTACAGCGCAATCTTAAGCTTACAATCCGTTAGATACACCAACGAACAAAATTTTATGTTTTCAACTCAAGATGGAATTTTAAGTAAAATAATGTTTTCTCCAAACTTTTACGACATTGATTCTGAGCAATATCATAAAGTTATGCTACAGGAAAAGTTAAATGGAAGTTATGTACTATAAGGGGGAAAACCTACGGACAAGCCCTTCGGGCACCCCTCAACACCCCTTTCCTTGGCTACGCCGCATAATATACGCAAAGAATAAAATGAAGGATAAAATGATGGACATCTTTGAGTTTAATCACATTGATAAATCTCTGTCAAAATCAGATATTGATGTTCTAAAAGATTTTTACAGGCATTATCACAAAAAATATTGGTGTTTTAAAAATTGTTACAAAAGTTATAAATTTCTTGATAATGTTTTAACTATAACCGGAATAAGCCTTGTAACTATAGGAACAATTGCCGGAGGAATAACTCTTAATCCTGTTGTCTTAGGAGTTATAAATGGTGCTGGCATTATTGTTGCGGGTATTGGAAAGAAAGAAAATGCCCAGAGAAAAATTGAAATGTCAAAGATCGCCTATACCACTTATGAAAAGGTATTGGTAGAACTGAGATCAGCTCTTAGAGGAGATGAATGGGATAAACAAGAGTTTGTTGATAGGATGAAACTGATAGATGAAATGATAATTGACCAAACTCCTTTATCGGATAGATTTGTTAGTAATTATAACAAGAAGTTTATAATAAGGGGAACACCCCCTCCCTCTCTAGATAAATGGAAAAAACAGCCTTTCCTCCAACTAATTGGGAAAACTACGGATAAGGGGGGTTTTGGGGGGGTGCCCGAAGGGCTTGCCAAGATCCCCCCATAAATAATCTAAGCAAGTAATAAATGGAGGAGTTGAGAAATTTAAAAAAAAGTTTTATAAAAAATTTTGAAAATACGCTATCTTCTGTTGGAAAAGATTTGGTAAAAGAAATGGAAGAGAAATATAGCATCGACGACCAAATTTGTCTTGATTATGCGATGAGCCTTTGCCATAAGATTTCCAAAATGGAGGGAGTTAGCGCAGAAGATGAGAAAAAGTGCCAGGAATTTATAAAAATTTTTTATTATCTAGATGAGATTAAATCCATGAGTTAATTTCAATACCAAAAATATTGAAATCTAAATGTAGCGAAAAGTATATTTTTGTCCAATTATTTTGGAAGTTGCTGTTTTAAAATTTTTTCGCCCATCACATATCATTTTAACCTGACCTGAATTTATTCCTAGCATTTTGCTAACAGAGTACAAACTTTTAAAATTCGATTCAGCTTTTGTTATCAAATTTATTACCTTAACCCTTCTTGGATTTTTGCGGATATCTTTTAAAAAAGTACAATCTTTGTTAACTGTTGACTTTCTAACATTTTCGCTTGGTGTTACCACTTCCCAATTTTTTAGCCTGTTGTCCACTTTGATAGAATTGATGTGGTTTATTTGTTTACCCTTTTCAATCAGGCCGTAAAAGCACTCGAAAACGAATCGATGAGAAAAATAATTTTTAATTTTACTTTCTACTGTTGTTATAACACATTTTAAATAACCACTGTTTGAAAGATAACCTTTTCTTGGGTTTCTCAGCCTGATGTTCATGATTTCACCTTCATCATTTGCAGCGTATTTTTTGTAGACCGGATGAATAAAAAACTTTTTGCCGTTTTTCAAAATATATTGTTCCATTTTTTTATTTATATCTATTTCTTTATACCATAATTTATTTTTATATAACATTATTATAAAGATGTTGAAGGAGATTGTAGCATACGTTAACTTTAGATTTCCAGCTGTAAAAACACAGTTTTATAACGACAATTTTATTAAAGCTTGTCTTGTTTACGAGTATTTATACGCAAAGTATTTCAACCAAGTGATGGATTTGAAT